AATTACCCAATATCCCATTGAAATAATAGATTCAGTTAACGAAATTTTCAGTTCACAACCGACTCTGTGGAACCAATTGTGTTAGTTAATCGAGGGACCACTGTACAAGATACATCAGTCAATCATAGGCATCCCATGCAGTCACATGACAGTAGTGGTCAATCATAGCTCACAAGCACTCTGAGCCTACCCATGCATCACCACGTCGGAAACATTATGCAATCTGTTGGAAATTCATTCCCATTCCCGGAACGGAGAGATTTTCTCTGAATTTTCTGGAAATACGCATGATGCATTCCTTGGAAATTTGTTCCCATGCCTGGAGTGGAGAGATTTTTCCTGGAATTTCTTGGAATGCTCAAAATAAAAATTTCTGGCTATTGAAGAGTTTTGGAGATCAAAAATTCCAGCTAACATAGAGATTACTGTATTTAAAATGAGCACCTAGTAAATCCCAGGCCAAACGAGAAATTTATAACTGTATGTTATGTGGTGGTTATTTTTCAACTTACAATTTTCTTCTTTTTTTTTGTATTCAGTTACATATACTGTACTTACAGTTCTACATGCAGAAAGTGCAAGAAAAATCTAAAAGATATAATTATCATCAGGTATAAAGTATTTTTCAATTCATAATTTCTGGTTTACACCCCTGTATATGTAATTATCTTCATTTTTATATTTTACTCATTTACATTCACACACAATTCTACACACAGAAATTGCACAAATAAATAAACTAATCAATATTTTTTCTGTATACGGTATGCTTTATAATATTTAATGTACAATCGTTTTTTCATTCTAAATTCAGTAATTAAATTTCAGATTTGAGCGAAAGGAAAGTGAGATGCGTGGTCTGGGAAGACATGATATGACAGCCGAGCAGCGAGCTAAGAGCCTTGTAGATCAGTCCAAGACTATTGTAGAGGTACAGTACATCTATTCATGTAACTTGTTTATGTGTTCTTTACATCTTGTAGGGTTTCATTCATGGCTCTTGTCTGTTCTTATTGCCTTGAGAACTCAACTTTGGTACTTGGTGATCTATTGTTTCTTGTGACATTTTTGATGGCTCCCCTTCAAAAGAATACAGTAGTCTCATTTCTTTAATTCTGTTGCCGTTAAGTATTAGTTCTGTCCTTATGTCTTCTACTTGTCAGTGACACTTGTTGCCTCAGGTCATCTGTAGATGCTGTCCATTCTTATTTCTCTTGTATATGAACATACAGTACTATACTGTATTCTTATGTGTCATATATATGTCATTTGCTTTTTCTGAGCCACATACAATACCTTTATAACTTTGCCATGCAAATTTTTTTTATTTATTTATTTATTTTATGCATGCTTCAATGGGCTTCAGATGCATTTTCTATGATTTTGAACCATCCTTAACCCCTTCTCTAGGGGGACGCCACTTTTAATATTTTATTTGGCCAACGCCAGACAATTTTATTCAGTACAGAGGGGAGCCCATATACAAGGGGTCAAATCTGTCCAGTCCTGTGCAGTGTAGTGAGTAGCTGCCACCTGCACAGTAGTGTTATTTTATTTAAGAAAAGAAAAATACAAACTTTCAAGCTACACTATGAGAACAGATTTGTCGGTTTACATGGCATTGTTGGAATGTTTCAGCTTCTTAAATGCAAGTAAATGTTTTATTGCATCACTTATTCTTTTTATTGTCATATATACAGTAGTCTGGTCAAAAAACCTTCTCCATTTATTCCCATCATCACATTGTTTTAACCTTCTCACTCAAATTTTTTTTCTTAAATTTTTGCTGTTACTGTACTTCACTTTTCCAGTCTTGCCTTTTATTTGTGTATAAGTTTAAACAGATTTCTTCATTCCACTTTCAACATTTGTAAAATTACATGTGTATCATTATTTTCAAGTGTCTGATAGTTTATATGAAAAATTTGAAACTGGATGAGTGTTTTGGGGAAAAATCCTTGATACATTATTTTGGTTTCATTAGCATTAATTTTGCAGTACTTTTTATTCTCTAAAATGGGATTTAAGAATGCTGAATATACAAAAATCACTCTCAGTCCACATCTGCAAAAAAAAATCGGAAAATAAAAGTCCTAATTATTTTCATCAGTGCTATCATATGTTTAGCTGGTAACTTTATTCCACTCCTGTTTAATTTGTACAGGTATTGGCATTACTGTATGTATATGATGTACAATACCCATGTGTTTCATCTTCCCAGGTCAGATCAGGAGTCAAGGGAGAGCCACAAGGCCTATCTAAGTGTAATAAGTCAAAATCTGTTGAGAACACCTTTGATGTGGACAAGATTTTTGAGGAATTTAAAAGCTCAACAACAAAACTTGGTTCAGATTTTAAACCTTTTGCGAAGGATGCAGAGAAACAACGGCGATATGAACTGTATTTGCGGATGAAAGAAAGGGGTCAAAAAGGTTAGTTTTATTGTTACTTAGATCATCTGTTACTAATTGTAAACAAAGAGTATAAACTAGTGATAATGCCTTTATAAAGTACAGTACTGTAGTTGTAGCTTTTATAATTTTATTGTTCAATGTGTCTGTGTACAGTACCTATCTGTGACATCAATTTGTCTGCATGTGGAGCACAAGTGAATCTTATTATTTATTTATTTTTACGAACTGATGCTTTTAAGAATTTAAAAACCTACTACAGGTTTCATTATTACTCAGATCGGTTCTACCTGGCCCAGCCTAAGAGTATGACTGAATGGGAGAGGGAACGTGAGATACGAGAGTTTAGTAAAGCCGCCAAACTCTTCCAGCCTCTCACCTCTACCATGGCCAACAGGTAAAATTCCCTTCTTCAGTTTGAGATGAGTATTAACTTAAAATTCATTATAATATTTTGGGAAAAAATATACACATATCTATGGTTACTTCATGTACAGTACTTTTTTATTGACAAATATTTTTAAAATATTGTCGAGTGCATTAATGTCTCTTCACATCATATTTGTTATTTCCCTAATAGCTTGAAGAAAGGTGTTTTAAACACATAATGCAAGGTATTCAGGACCAAGAGCAAATATACACATTTTTCATTGTAATTTTTTTTATTTCTTAATGTTGTAATAGATGTGTTTGGATCTCTTGAATATTAGGTTAAGTTAAGTTAGATTAAATTAGGTAAGGTTAGATTAGGTTATGTTAGGTTAAGTTAATTTAGTATTAAGGCATCAAATTATCAGGTGGGGGCACTTAATCACTAAGATAAGGGACCTCTGCTATGATGCTGCCTTTCCACAACAAGACCCTTCATGTCCATCTGATTCACTGAGATTACACATTACCAAATTTAAGTTCCTTCTCATGCTTCACAATAATTTCTTTTTTCAGTATTCTGTCCACAGGAATTTAATATTAGTCTTTACTCTACTGTACACATTTTTAAAGGTGTATAGTTAAGCAATGTGTTTGTCATGCAGGCATCCCCCAATTTACGATAATCCGCGTTAATGTTAGTTAGGTTTTAACACCCTCTTGTGGAATACATAAGACAAATTCAACATTAACAAGACCTATCGGGAAGCCGAACTCCCTGATGAGGAATGCAAATACTGGGGAAGCTCTCTCACTTCACTTGTCAAAGCCAATATGGCTGCTATGTGCAAAAACTGCTTTTCCATCCTCTGCACAGCTTCCTTTATCCCAGCCCCACCTCATGGCTGCCCTGCGTACTACAGTTCCACGCTCTGTTACAATGTGATCGCACCTGTTCTCGTTCATGTAACCAACGTTATCATTATTTATCATTGCATGACCTTGTAATTGCTGTGATATTTGCCAGTATTGGTGAGAGGAAAACACTATACAGGTAGTTCTGCTATAACGCGATAATTGTGTTCTTGTAAAATATCGTGTTATAGAAAATCGCGTAATAGAAATAACAGGGCTTATGGAGAAAATAGGGTTAGGTGCAGATTACTCGAAATCGAAAAAATTTAGTAGTTAGCCTAACACAAAGGATAGCACAGTCTAAATAAATGTTACATTCATATCTAATAATGAAATCATACAGTAAATTTAACACTTTACCTTGAAAAAATATGAATGTAACTTGATGGGGGAGAAGGGTGATTTTGAGGTTGATAACATCGAGCTTCTCTTCAAGTGTTATATCCTTTTTTTTACGATAATCACCGGGAATTCTATCATCAGAACGCTTTTTGGAGATATTCTTCTTTACCATATTCACAGTTAATACCACAAAATTGGAGAAATAGTAAGCAAAAATCGAGTTATAGCAAACAAGCGTTCGCGTTATACAAATATTGTTCCGAATTCATAAATCGCGTTAGAGCAAATTCGCGTTATCAAAACACGCGTTATAGCAGAACTCACTGTACAGGTAGTTCAAATTTTGATCTGTTTTGGTGACTGTAAAATGATTTCTGTCCTGTAATAACTTTTAAAGTGGCTAGCAAGGGTCCTGTTGAGTCCCCCGCCTCTGGGAAAGTCAAGGTTTTGAAGATGACCGTGTCTCTGAAGATGAAGTTAGACATTGTTAAGCAGCATGAGAGAGGTGAAAGGACTGAGTTTGTTATTATTAATGTGGCGAGTGTTGTTATTTATTCATTTATTTTTAATAAGTGTAGTTCTGTACAGCTATTTTTGTGATACATGTCTGTGACGGTTAGGCCAGGGACATATCCTGTTGGAACCCATGTTAAAAGGCTCCCGATTTAAGATAATTCGATTTACGTCAGGGTTTCCAGGAACACAACCTTATCGTATATCGGGATACCTGTACAGTACATGGATCATATTTAACTAGTATTGTAAGGATTTTGTTGTTATTTTACTTCAGTTTCCTGTCTGGCCTTGTAACAGAACATAATCACCTGCGTATTAGTGTACTATCTTCTGTAACCAAACATTAAATCAGTGCTTGTGTTCCAGGTTTACATCGGCAGTATTAAAAGATTCTGGCCCAGTCTTGAAGGATGGACTGAACACAAACATCCCAAAGGTATGACCTTCGTTTACAGATTTTTTGTGTTATATTGAATGATGGTGAGTTCAGAATAAAAAAAAATTCACGCACACACACACACAGAGTCTCCTCCATATTATCACCTCTCAAATTACTAATTACAGTGTTTTTCTCTCCTTTCTTTACTTGCTTTTATCACTTCACATTTACTATCAACTTTCTCCTAGAACACACTTCCAATTCATTCATTAACAATTGTAACTTTTCGCCTGAAGTTCCCACTAATGTATTGTCATCTACAAACTTCCTGTATCAATTTTTACCAAACTTATACCTCTCTCTATCACCTTGTTTAATCTTCTCTTACCAACCCATCCATAGAAATGTTATACTGCCAAGCTAACATTATACATCCTTTACATAATCCCACTATTACTAGAAACTAGTTTTTTCTTTTCCCAGCAAACTCTTATCATGTTTCACTGTCCCAATAGTCACATATAGTATTAGAAACTTCAAGTCAACAATTTTATGTTTACTCAAAATTTCCAAAGAAAACTTGGCAAAATCTGTAAGTAAGAAGTTAACGAGAAATTCCACTCGGGAACAAATCAGTGAATTTGAGTAATACTTAAGATATTGGTTATGAGGAGGATAGTTAAATATGCATCAATAATTATTTTCTTATAATTAAGCTTAACAATAATACAGTAAGAGTAAGTTCTATAATACATGTTTTCATAACACGGTTTGGTTATGATGCGATGAATGAATTGGAGAACACATTTTCTATATCTTGGATGGGATTTGGATATAACACGTTTGAGTAAATAGAACCATCTCACTTAAGTAGGAATAAGCAGCTATGCAGTCGTCTCAGTGTAGCATCATGAGTAAATAGAACCATCTCACTTAAGTAGGAATAAGCAGCTATGCAGTCGTCTCAGTGTAGCATCACTCAAGGTGTTGTGCCACCTCAACAGTCTTTGTTTATCTTCCATATGCATTAGACATCCGGATTTGCGGACTGTGCTTTATTTTAGTACAAGTATTCTACAGTAATGTACTGTATTAACTTTAGTGCTTTTAATTAAAATGCTTGGCAAAGGTGTGTGGCATTCTGGTAGTGGTGGTAATGGAAGTGAAGTATAAGAAAGAAAAGCTAGAACTCTTGAACAAAAATGAGATGTGATAAGGTGGTATGAACCCTCACCTCCTCCACCACTCATCTCAAACAACCATTTTATCTTCTTGTAGTGAGTGTTAAAACATTCTTATATTTATACTTCTTATGGTTAATTTTTTTTAAGGTTTTATCATTAAAAGCTGTTAAGTGGGTCACACTTCACTACTTATTATTTAATCATTTTTGTTCAGCATCCTCCTCCATGGCTCCATTTTCTTTCACTTTGCAACATACACTAACACACTATAACAAGTATTTTCCCCCTTTAATTTTTTCTGTTAATTAATGAATGATATTATTAAACTAAAACAGTTATTATAACCCCTTAATTCCCATTGAATCAATAATTACTACAGGAAGATTTTTCTATAACACGGTGTTTTTCAGGTATTGCAGCTACCATGTTATCGGAAAATTGTGTTTTTTCGTTTAATAATATCATTCATCAATAGAATAAAAACATGAAATGGGGAAAAATGCTTGTTACATTGTGTTAGTGTATGTTGCTATGCAAAAGAAAATGGAGCCGTGAAGGACATCAACTGGATAGGCTGGATCATAACAAGACACCAGTCCTACTCCAGGTATAATTAAATGACCAAGAATATTTAAAGGATTAAATGGTGACAAAAATAGACACAAGAATAAAAGCACTGTGGTGGTCCCTTATGATTTTTGAACAGTGTACTATAGGTACTGTACAATGGATGCCATTTTGATATTGATGGAGATGATGACCAACTAAAATGTCTTGATGTGAGTCTATATGTGGCCACTTTATGAAGAGAGTTTTTCAGAAAGACTAAGGCATCTTAGATATGATAGGTAATGGCACCAAGCAGTCCTCCTGCAATTTAGAAATTATTTTTGTTTCAGGTTGAGCCAGTTACTGATGAATCTGAAGTTGATGCTCTGGGTCACAATGTAGCTGATGAGAGGGTAAAGGCTGCCAAAATGAACATGTTTGGCAAGTTGACACAAACTTCAGTGGACTGGTATCCTAATCGTCTCCTGTGTCGAAGGTTTAATGTTCCAGACCCATATCCAGAGTGAGTTTTAATATGCATTATTTATTTTAAAATAGGTACTGTATAATATAATAAATTAAAACATATTCGTAAGTATGGTACATTTCACATATATTGTTTCTGCTGATGCTTAACTATGTGTGCAGTAACATGTGCTGGGAGACAAATTCAAGGTTGAGGAAGTGAAAAAATAATTTTATAACAGTGAAGTAAAGACTACACAACAGAATCCACACATGGTTACTATTGATTCTAAGATAACAATTACCTACAATAATTTTTAACAGTAAGGATACCTTTGAAGTAATTGTCCCTTTGTCATCACCATTTTTGCCAACCTTTTAAGTTTGTTCAAAATTCACCCATTGATCCAGGTAACAGTGTCCTCCCCATCCCATGTTATCACCTAATCTTACTCCCATCTTATGTTTTCTGCTCCTTCCAGTCTAGCTTAAATAAGTCCCCAGTATCTGATGTTGCCCCACCTCTCACTCTTATAAAATATGCACCTGAGCTTGCCCCTTGTTCTAAGCTTTTTCTTCTTTCTTAAATTTCTCGTACTGTTCACTCCTTTTGGAAATTAGCAAATAAACAGCCTATTCCTAAAATAGGTATCCATCCTCTCCCTCTTACTGAAGACCATACATAGCTCTCACACAAGGCATCTGCATCATTGTGGGATCTGTCAGTTATGATGACAGAAGTATGGGAAGTATGAGTCAATTAAATGGTATTTATAGACACTTTATGTAAAGTTGATCATGGTTTTTATTATTCTATACTGTGACTTACAAGTATAGGGCTGATTGTTTTATTTGTTTTCTCAATATATTTGCAGATCCTCATTTGTTGGTGTTCGCAAATCTAAAAGAGAAAAATTTTCCATTTTCAACTTACTCAATGCACCTGTAGAAGACACAGCTGGCCTCCAGGAGACTTCGTCTACATCTCAAGAAAAAGAAGAAACTGCAGAGGATGAAAACCTTGTTGATAAACAAGAAAACTTTGGCTTGAAGGTTTGTTCACTTTATATTTTGTGAAGCTTTACAGTAATTTATAATAATAATATTTTGTTTGGTCGAGTTCAGTACTTCATGGTATGTATATTATATACAGTATGTATATTATATCTGCTGTTTCAGGCAGTAAGATCAAATTTATAAATTATTTGTATTTCATGCACTGTATACACAAGAATATTAGTGCATATAAATCTGCTCATTAGATGTAGCATGAAGAGAATTATAGTTGGGAGCAACTTTCAGAATGTGAGGAAGAGTGAAGAGCCTTGATTGAAAATTTAATGATAAATTTTCCTTTAAATTTTTAGGGTTGAAGGCCTATTTTAGTTGCTTTTAGATTTTTGGTTTCTAAAGCCAAGTGTGTTTGATGCAGGTAGGTGGTGCTGTATTAATGGTTCATTCCCCATTACCCAGCTGGACTGAGTTAACTCTTTGTGTTGTTCCTCATGCACAATATATTCATCCTGTTTTTGACTTAATTGGCAATTGGGTTTACAGAGCTCCTTATGGTAGGTAAGGTAGGAAGTCACTGACCCGGACTACCTTACATTTGATGTTGAAGATTTTTATAACTAGTAAATGTTTGGAGTGAAAATACCTGTGTAACAAATTTTTGCTATTGCTAATTAGGTACTACAGGTAATCCTTAACATTGGTGAACAGTGACTTTGATGTATTTCATATTAATGTTTACTTATCTGTATCTGTACATTTTCTTTCTTGTCCGTGTCATGGAGCTTTCCTCTGAATATTTTTACAAATATATGTATTGTACTATAATATACAGTAGTACAGTACTTGCAAAAATGACACTCACTCTGTCTCTACAGCCTTTAGCTTTTCAATTCATTCTTTCAGTCTTCACTCTCCTTTAGTATCTTTTCTAAATCGTAATTTAATGTATACTTTCTGCTTGTAGCAAAGTTACATGTTTGGTGAGAAATTATATCATCAACAAAAGAGATACAGATTCAGGAACCCTAACAGTTAAAGTGGAAAATGTCTTTCACTCTTTCTTTGAACTTGCCAGAATTTTGTAGTTTGTTTGAATTTGCCTTTCTTAATTTTTTGCAGGTTCCAGTGGATGGGCCTCCAACAATGGACCTCTTTAAAGCCATATTTCAAGATTCTGAGTCTGACTCAGATGGCGATGATGAAAAAACTGCCAGTGTCAAAATTAAAGAAGAAGAATCCTCTTCTGATGATACCCAGTCTGAGAAAAAGAATTCCTCAAGCACAAAAAATTCTCCCAGACCTCTTAATGAACACACATTTGCATCAGAGATGAACTTTAGTGATGGAATGTTTGCCGCAACAGCTTCTAAAAACTTAGAAACCGTGAAGGAAAAGAAAGAAGACAAAGAAATAACTGATGAGTCACTAGCAATAAAAAAACCTGATGGACAGAGAGTTCGTATAAGTAGGTTTGAACCAAAGAGAGACGATCCCACAAGCCAACCAGAGTGTTTGCCTAAGCCAGTTTTTATTCATCGTAGAAAAGATCCCGCTGCTTCTGAAGTCCCCCCTGCTAAGGGAATATTCGCCAATATTGACTTTGAAGCACTTAATAGTTATAGAAATATTACTGCCACTTCTAGTCAAGAACAGACAAGCAGTGCTACTGAGAATGTTGAAGAAAATATTGGTAAAAATAAGAAAACAGATAGTGATTCATCTGTTGATTCAGAGGATGAATATGGACCACCAGTTCCAGTACACCTGAAGAACAGACTCCAAATGATCAGGTCGGCACCACCTACCACAACTGCTCTGGTGCAGAAGCTTGGAGAAAAACAGGATACAATTACCAAACACAAATCGTGGGTTGAAAAAGAACCAAAGAATAAAAGTTCTAAGAAACACAAACATAAAGATAAGCACAAATATAAAAAAGAGAAGAAAAAGAAGAAAGACAAGAAGAATAAAAAGCACAAAGAGAGAAAAAAGAAGAAAGAGCACCGACAATTAAACAGGAAGGATAGCAGTAGCAGTAACTCTGACTCCTCGGACAGTGATTGAAATGCAAAACAATAATAAAAAATATGCGGTAAATCTATATTTTTCTTTCCCTAAGCTTAAAAAAAAAGAATGGGCTGCAATTGATTATGGTAATGTACAGTAAAAGGAAAAAGGAACATCATGATACAATATTTTACTTTTACTCAGAATGCAGTACTCAAACCCATAAGACTAAGACTTCCTTCATAGGATCAAGCTTGGCTCTCAGGTATTACACTACAGTATTTGTATTTGTTATTTTAGAACCTAGGACTGGGTATTATTGTATGGTCTTCAGTTCAATTTTATTCTTAACTTTTTGTATGTTGTTAATTTTTTGCTCACATGTCACAGTCTATTTAAATTTATTAATAGTACAAATGATGAGACACTGGTAAGGCTGACAGGGCCTTCCACTCTAAGAGACCTCACAATCACATTGAGAAAAGATGAAATTTTCTGACACCATAAAAATTACTCCAGGAGAGTGACGAGTTTGTCCTGCAACTGAACGCCTCGTATATACAGTAAAGTACAGTAATACTGTACCCCAGTTTCCTGCAAACTCGAAATCGTAAGAGTTATTAAAATACATAATTCAAGGCAAGTGCCCTAAGAATTAAATAAATTTGGAGGGATGCGTTCTTAACATTGCCACTTCACCTAATACCAGGTACAGGGTATACTGTATTCAGTAAATAACATATAATTCACTTTATGCTGCCTCTTAGCCACAGACATTTCCTTGTGACAATGTATACTGAGGGGGCATGATGCTTAAAGATCATAAGGATATTTCACGAGTGTTAAACAAAGACAATGGAAGGTATGGTGAAGCTGTGTGGTAATGCCTGCATCTTCATATTAGTTGTACCAACACTAGAAATATTCTACTGTACTCAACATTACTCAAAACTACTGTACAGAAATACATTTTAATACAAACACTGGAAATAGCATTTGGTAATTTTGTTGGCTATCTTTGGCCTAATTCTACCCTTGTTGTAAGATACAGTATATATATATATATATATATATATATATATATATATATATATATATATATATATATATATATATATATATATATATATATATATATATATATATACACACACAAGGGGCAGATCCAGGAATATTAAATGGGGGATCCACGAAGTTCTGGGTGGGAGAACATGGCGAGCACAGCGAGCCCACCACAGCTGTTGTTGTTTTGTTTTGTTGTTGTTGGGGGGGAGAGGAAGTTGTAAGCCCCCCCCCCCCACCCACCAGATATTTTTTTTTAAATCTGACCAATATCATGGGCATTTTGAAGCCATGTGTACTTGATATTAAAAGATATTCCGAGGTCAATAATAATTACTGTTTACTATATAAGAACGCCTGAGTATAATACTGCATTAAAGAAAAAGTTTTTGGAATTTTCTGATAAAACGGAGGTTCAGACTCCCAGGAGCCCTCCCCAGGCTTCGCCCCCGTATACTTGACATAACAAAGAACAGACCAACAACCCGACCGGCTAGTAAGCTGATAACCGGTGAAATAATAAACACATAATCCTGTTAATGAGTATAAAAACACTCATGGAATTTCTAGAAAATTTGCAGTAAGCTTGATTCCATATTTGTCGTATGTGGAATCATGTCGTAAAACCGATAATTACAATAACTCACTAATAATAATAGTCTTCCCGACCTCCAGTTGCAAAAGAGCAGTCCTGTAGCCGCCTCTTTATAAAAGGGGGAGTTGGGATAGCTCACTTTACACCACAGTAATACTTAAGGTATCGTGAGAGATGTAACAAGCCCAACCGTTTCGCGAAGTAAACAATAGGGGCGGGTAGTGCGTGAATTGTAGTTTTCTTTCATCATGCTACAGTACAACAGTAATAAGTGTAGTGGTGCGCGTGCGTTGCATTTCCGTCCTCACCCTCGCCGAGTCGCCTCCGCCTCCTCAGTCCTCATTCCACCTGCCATAAACAAAGACGGCGGTACAGGGGCCGAAGACTCGAATTAAAAAAAAATATTTTGGGTGTTTTGGGGGGCTCAGGGAGGTTTTGTGAAGTGTAGAAGAATATAATACTTTTTCTTGAGAAAAGTTTTGGGTCGACAATAAGGACAAAGAGAATGAAAATTATCCCCAAATCTGAGTTCAAAAGACATTGAGGTTCCAAGTTCAACATCAAATCGGTAAGTTCTGGATTTTACTGTGTCTTATATTATAATAATATGTAGCATTACTATTGTGTGTTAGACGCAGGTACGTTATCTCTGTAAGAGTATATTAACATTTCTATGGAAATTGGTGAAAAATCTTAGGATTGAAAAAGCCATGTTTAAGTGTCGTAACCTACCACCTGACCTGAAGAGTTGCGTGAGAATTGATACTTTCTTGAGTTTTGAACAAAACTGCTTTAAACGTAGAACAAATATTGACTGCCATTTTTTTTTGCATACATCATCCCCTCAACCGAGGAAAACATTAGTGGCATGCTCTATGTTGTGTCGTGATCTGAACACGATGCTGTCATGTGTAAATATTGGATAGCTATTGATGTCAATCATTTGGTATTGAATAATATTGGCAAGTCAAGGTGTAACGAAACCTTTGGTTGTCAGCAGTAATCGATCTCTGCCTGATACTGAGCACTCATTTGTAATGAGGGCGTGTCTTACATAATACCAATTTCGAACTGATCACGTTGAGTATGGATTGCTTTAATTAGTTAGATTGTTTTCATTCGACTGTTAGGTTTGGTTTATTTACGCTCAGTTAATATTAAGGTATTGTTGATCTTATAATGCATTATTGCACTTCAACAGCTAGGTTAGTAAATACACCGAGTCATTAACATTTAAAATTTAAGTGTAGGTAAGATGAGGTCTACATAGTAAACGTTTGACCAGCTTCGTGTAATTCAGTTTAATTTATCTCTCCCTAAATATACTAAATCTAATCGGGTAATAAACGTGTGATGAATATATAAGGAAATTCACGACGTTAAGTCTCTTATTTTTAATTGTTGATGACTTGTATATCGATTAACCTAGAAAATGCGCTTTAGAACCTTAATTGTCGAAGCGTAGTAATACAGCAATACCAACAACTCGCAATTAAACACAAGGTGAACCATTGTGTTGTTGAAGGTTAGCGTTCCACTCCAAATCTATATGTACCGGGAAGAGATATTTATATTGTCGACCTCACGTGTAAACTTTTCTTATCTGGTTACAAATTTCAATGGCTACAGAAAAATCTTTATTTAGCTGGAAGTTGTTTTTGCATCTTATTTTATGTTCTTTCTGGTCGTTATTACCCCTTATAGATGTTGATAGTTCTTTAATAATTTTTCTACCTCTTTAGTGGTTTTTATTTTCGACAGATTACCTAATTTTACCCAGCCGCAATACATATAAAAGTTATTGCATGTTTCAGTGTTAAAAATTGCCGTTAACTAAATGAAGGTCACATCGTGTCTAATTGTATTATATTATAGAAGTATGAATCATTTTATGATTTTTAACTGACACTATAGGCCTACAAAGATTTTTCCTTGTCGTCCAGCTGCCGCGCCGTGGGTGTACTGTAGGTGAAAGTTCATTGACCGCGTACTCGCTTAGTAACCTACAGGTCCCCAGCCGTTACCAACACCTCTTCCCTCCCTGACCAGATATCCCTCCTAGTGACAGGCCTGGCACTTGACATTATCAGGGACCTGCCACGCTTTGCCACAAACAGATAAATTGTACCGGGAAATTTTCCCCCACACAATCATCATTCTGTCACTTTATGTAACTTGCTGACAAAAACCAATGACCCTTCAGGTTTTTACGCCCTTAATGCATGAGTCATAAAAGCAAGCATAAACTCCGCATGCTTCCCCGATGGGCATCTGTAATCGCTTCTGCGCTTCACCTTGCACAGGTTGTAAGGGGGTGCCCAATAAACTAGCCCCCTCGTGGGCAATCTAAAAAAAAAATATTAGTTAAGCCCACTGTGGCCTGGGTGGGAACACACCCTGCCATACTTGATAATACTTGGTAAAGTACAAATACACACATGAGTTTCATGTCTCATACATACATACGTAATTTGCCATATTTGACTGGGCATATAATATCAGCCATACTAACTAGGTGCAATTATTACGTTCCTAGTCATGCATGTAGAGTACAGTCAAGGTCAATATAGAGACTACACTCGTGAGTGGTGCAGCGCTAATGTGACGGCTGGAGGCGATCAGCTGACGTGTGTAAATTCCTAAGAGCTGAACCGCTGATACTTGATTCAAGCTTACGGGAATGCTATTGATGTCACAAGCCCCCTGTGAGATTAGCCTCATGTCCAGAGTTGTTCATCATTCTATACAATGAATAAACAAGCTATTGGTTGTTTTATTGTATTATGTGACCACATGAAAAATTAATAGTTAATGCCCAAAGAGTTTAGGATCAATCCTACGACAATCATTTCAGCCTGTCACGATGAAATGCAAATTATTTGACTCCGTTACTCCAAATATTTCACGGACATATATATATATATATATATATATATATATATATATATATATATATATATATATATATATATATATATATATATATATATATATATATATATATATTGTAAAATTTTAAATAAAAGTTATTCGCGCGCGCACACATTTTATTATTTAAATAAAATGTGAAGAATTCCTCATGAATATGATAATGCATTAGACCTGATTACAAGAAGTATAAGATCACCAAAGAATGACTTACATTCACTGTAATGCAACTTAAGTTTTCGGAGATGAAATTCCCATTATTAATTTGACTTTGGAAAACTTATATTTAGATTCATAGATAAGGAAATTTACAAATTTTCAGATGACAGTACTTCCAATATTTGCATTGTATCAGAAAACACCCAAGTTCATCTATTATTAAATATGTTTGATGTGTAAGGTGGTACAGTACTGTATACGTTTTCATTAATTTTATTTCGTGTTTAGTAGTGCGAGCATATTAGGATGATAACAGTTAATCCTGGGGAACCAGATATACAGTACT